TTTTTTTTTGAATTTGATGAATAAATTAATGCTTGTAGTCGTTTGCCCAGTCTGATTCAAGTCATTACAGAAATCTTGTCTTGTGTGAAGATTGATTAGCATCGCTAACTATCGCCTTCGCCAGATCCATCCATCGGATTGTCAGTCAGCTCAGTGCTTTCTCTCTCGGCATAATAATGGACACCTCCCTTTATGATTCATATCTACTTCTTCTTCTTTAGGACGACAAGGTTTGAATTTCTCTCATTTTCTTCTGATTCAAACATCATTTTCTTCCTTCTTTCTAACTGACTAGTGTGTGTTTCGCCACTTCCGTTCTCCATCATTGCTTTATATTATTTTCATTCTCCCCTGACTTGACTCCCTAAGTTCATTGATCAGAAATCAATAAATTAGTTTGCTGTTCGGATTCTGACTGTTAATCTGCGATTGTGTACTGGTTGTTACAAATTTATCACATCACCAAATCTGTCTATTTTGTTACTTTTAAAATGTTCTTTTATCCACCATCATTTACATTCTTTCATTCCAAAAGTGATGGGATTTTTGCATCAGAATCAGCAATTGACCATGAGCTCCAGCCGTTTTACGCCTTGGGAATACTCTCCAGAACAAGACAAAGATTATCATAACATCCCATAAAATTCTTTTGATTTGTCTCTCTTCTTTATGCAACAAATGCAATTTGTCAGCCTCTCATGATTATCCCTGCATTTTCAAGTTTATATATATGGTTTTACCTACTCATACATTTAAAATCTGAATTTCAGCTTCCATGTACGATAATCCGCTTTTCTCAAAACTGCCAACTCTCTAGCTGAAGTGGATCCCAGACCAAATGTCAAGGACTCTTGCAGCAATTTTAGGAGGTGCTGCAGGAGCCGTGGCATTGGTGGGGCTGCTGTTTATCATTATCTGCTATTGTGTCTTTCGAGGCCGAAACGTGTCAAGAACATCCGAGACAGGTTCTTCCGATCCATCTGTTCAAGGTATCATTTGAATTTGTGTGGACAAAAGAAAATCTTACCCTACATGCTTCATTAGAGTTATCAAATGTTAAAAATGTTTTTCAATTGTGCCCAGTAGAGAGAGCCGCTGGGATCGAATTTACTTTACGAGATGCTAGGAGGTTTGCGATGGATGAATTGTCATCTGCGACAAGAAATTTTAGTGACAAGAGTTTGATTGGACAAGGAAAATTTGGCGAGGTGTACAAAGGATTGCTTCATGATGGGATGCTTGTAGCAATCAAGAAACGACATGGATCCCCCAGTCAAGAGTTTGTCGATGAGGTAACTGGGTAGTTATGAAATCATTGTTTATTAACTCTTATTCTTATTTAGTTGACATGCTTTTAACATACAGCCTGGAAAAGAAATCTAAAAGCAAGGTGTCCCTGTCAATGGATATTTTGATCATTTTTCAGATTTTTGCTGGTCCTTTTTTACTCTTCTCAAGAAACCAAATTATAATTGACTGATAGAACACGCGCGCCAGAAATCTACTACACTAGTAGTTGGGTGCTAAATTGTCACATATTGACAGCAGGCTCGTTGTCATTACTTTTCCTTAATAAGTTTTTAGTAATTATAGATTGAAGCTAAGTTTGTAGTTCATTTCGTATCAGGTCCGATATCTTTCATCTATTCAACACCGAAATCTGGTCTCCCTTTTAGGTTACTGCCAGGAAAATGATCTACAGATACTTGTCTATGAGTACATACCTAATGGAAGTGTTTCCATTCACCTCTATGGTAATCATTTTTTCATCTTCTTTGCCTTCTACCTTTGTATATGTGCTGGTTCATGTGTTTACTGTGTGAGTGAATTACAACCAACTCAATTAAGTACAACGCATCTCTAATATGATGGTTTTTCAACAAAATTTGATGGTGACACAATTTTGTTTTCAACCTCCTTCGTTACAATATTCTTATTCAGAAAATAGCTCCACACTATCCCCATTATACACTTTGTCTTTTCTTAAACCTTGCTTTTGTTATCATGAACTCTTTTTTTGTTCTTCTCATTTGTTTTCTATTGTTCCAGATCACCACTCCCCTCGTGTCTTATTTATTCATCCCAATTTCTTCTCATCTATCTCAATCTCTTAAACTCAGGTGCTGGTCAGGTCTCGCAGGAAAAGCTAGAATTTAAGCACCGGCTTTCTATTGCTCTTGGGGCAGCTAAAGGTGATCCTCTGCAAAATCAGTGAGCATTTTTGGCTTTTCTCGTACTAGTTTATCTTATAATGGTGAAAAAGAATAAAATAGGGAAAAAAAAGAAAAAAAATTCTAATAAGCACTTGTATAAGGTGTTATGCAATACTTGAAGCTCTTGTCAAATTTCTTACGTATTTCAGAATTAAATGTTGATTGTGTGTTCCTCTCATTCGCATGTTTTGACTTTGTACGTTCAGGTTTGGGTCACCTTCACTCCCTCAGTCCTAGATTGATTCATAAGGATTTCAAAACAGCAAATGTTCTTGTAGATGAGAATTTCATAGCTAAAGTGGCAGATGCTGGGTTGCGCAATTTTCTTGGAAGATTTGATCATGCTGGCTCATCTTCCCAAATTGAAAATGATGAGATTTTCCTTGCTCCAGAGTAAAAAAAAAAAAAAAATGCTATCTGATGATGTGATACACAATTCACTTTGATATTTGTTGATTGGAACTTTCTTGTAAATGTGCAGGGTCACTGAATTCAAACGATTTTCTGACCGAAGTGATGTATACAGTTTTGGTGTGTTCCTTTTGGAGCTAGTAAGTGGGCAGGAAGCAAGAGACCTGCTATCTTCAGATGTCAATCAGAATCTGGTTGATTGGGTATATATGCTTTTCACAATCACACTGCATTTATATATGTTGCGGGACATCTTGTTCACAGATGCTGGAACTAAACACTGCCTTTTTAAGTTACTGAACCACTACAAGTTCAATATTTTGGTCCTGCCAGCTTATGATACACAAAGATTGAGATTCCACTTGCACCTCGAACCAATTCAACCCACAGCCTTGTAGCTAATGTCAAACTACAGATTCTATAGTGCTATGTCATTTGCGTAGATGTAAATAACAGTATTGATCAGTATGCGGGCTCATTCTCTTCTTCCTTGCAGGTGCAAAATCTTCAAGAGTCTGGCAGCATATCGACCATTATCGATAAAAGATTGGGTAATAGTTTTACAAAAGAAGGCATGGAGGAGTTGATACAATTGATAGTGCACTGTGTGAACTCATCGAGTGAGAGGCGTCCTCCCATAAGTGATGTTGTAACCGAACTTGATCGTGTTCTTGAGAAAGAAATGAGCTTGACCACAATCATGGGTGAAGGAACCCCAGTCGTGACACTGGGAAGTCAGCTTTTTAGGACTTCAAAATAATAAAATAGCTGAAAGACTCGAAGCCAACAATCATCCCAGCTGTTGATAATTGTATAAAAAACAGTTGGATTATTTTTTTTGATATATTCCCTTCTTTTTTTGTTTTTCTTAATTATGTTAATTATGTTACTGTAAACAAGTTCCTATACATTGTTCATATTATAGTTATGGCTTGCGTTAGTGGTTTGTTAGTGGAAACACCCGCCTTGTTCCTTGTACCGATGCTTTGTTTGAATGTAATTTAAGCTTGAATGTAATCTAAGCTTGAATGTAATCGTGAGTGTGTTCTGGTTTACTTAGCTTTATCTATTCGTAGTCTGCAATGTCTAGCAGTATTCGTTGCCCCCCTTCGAAACTCCGATGGGACTGCTTGGTTGTTCTGATTCCCAACAGAAACAAAAATAAAATAAAATTGCAAAATAATGTATGAGCTCATATTTGAAACAACTAGTACATCGTTGTGCACAATAATTATAAACTGCATGTATTAAACCAATGAAAGAATGTTGATTAGTATAAAATAGTTTTGAATATTAATATTAGTTTTATTTTTTTATTTTATGATGCATAACAATTTTATATATTATTCATATGTTTATTTCACTCGTTATATAATATTTTTCATTTTAGAGTTTCTGTTTATAATTAAAAATAATGAAGATTTTACATATTTAGACATTATCAATAAATAATACTCATAGAATATCTTTGTCCCCCCCCCCCTCTTTTCTTTTACCCGTACATTTTACAATAAATTATCTCGATTTCTAAATAAGTTATGTTAAAGTTGTATCAAATATTAATTATGACCAACACTTAATTGAAAAGACGGTAATATATTATTTTAAGTTAAAAATTATAAAGTTTTAGTTATGTCAATATTATTTTTATTCTTATAACTTATAATAGTGTATATTATAAATATTTTAAATTTTTAATCTATTGTTGACAACCGACCTAAACCGTCCAATCCAAGGAAGTCGCGTAGAGGGTTTATCGTAAGAAAAATGCTACAAGTACAAAATAAATGTAGATAGATGTGTACATAACACTCACATGGAGTATAGTCCATTTGATTTTTTTTATATTTAGTCGGTTCCACTCAATTTGAGTGTTATGTAAACTCTTATGTACAATATTATGTACATATAGCATTTCTCTAATCTTAAACCTAATTATAAGCAGAAAACAGGAAAGTAACCTGATCTGGGGGGACCTTGGCAACAACCGCTCGGGGAAACCGACCTCACCAACGAACCGAAGACAGAGTTTAAGCCGGTGCATTTAAAGCGGATGGGACACCAGTCAATCAACTTCCATACTTTCATCATTGCTAGAGTGGGCCACCCGCAAGCTAGATACCCCTAGACCATTAAATCACATTTAATGTCGCCGAATCAGCTTCAAAAGCGAGCCCGATACTATTCATGTACGATGATCCTTTTTCAGACGCATTAAATACGCATATAAATAAGCTCAGTTCTATGAATAACCGACTTCTTGTACAAAAAATCCTGTTGAAAACCGACCTGCTCAAATCGTACTTAACGGTGCAAAACCCATATCAAGCGTTAACTTATAGCAGCTCGGCTCAGGCAAGATAAAAAATCGACTTCGCTCTTGTGGAGACAACCAACTCCTTAAAAAATGGAGATTCTCTTTCCATGACCGAGGTCCAACAAAACCGAGCTCAAAGCAGGTGACAAGGCACCTACGCAACGTAGCTACACACCACACATATCGCCATCATATTTGCAGGCCCAACTGCCAAATTGCCTCCATAAAGCTACTTTGCATTAAATGCGGTCATACGAACCTCGAACGATGAGCCGACAAAAGTTACTATAAGTAGACAAAATTATTCTTGTACAAGGATCTGATTTTGGACATTCGATACAAAAATATAAAAATAACTCAGTTTGCACCTAAACCGACTGTTGATGAACGGATCCGATCAACAGTTAAAATAAGTTTATAAGAATTTAAAAGAGAGAATGAGAAAGATATACGAGAAATAAAATTTTTTTACTTAATTATGAGGTCGACCTCTGATGGCGAGGTCGGCACTTTTGTTACACTTTCAGAGTAATTACAAGAATTTATTTCAGATTCTAGAGAGAGAAAGTAGTAGTTGATGATTTCAACAACCCACAATAAATGAATTGGGTCTTCTACTTATACTACTTACAATTTCGTCACTGTTTAGGCACTGTTCACCTGTATCATCGCACAGTAGCTCTGACGGTCAGGTTGGTGCTTCTATGACAGATAATAAATGCGATTTGAGGTTTCTTCAATCATTACCTGTCAGACATTTAATGCACACATGGGGGACATTAAATGATGACAGGCCTTTCAGTCGGGCTAGATGCCATAGGGCGATAGACTAGGGTGGCTAGTCCTTTCGACAATCATTAGCTGCCAAGTGGCAATATTATGTTATTTTTGAGTCATGCGTTTACGCTGGAGCCGATACTAAGGAATCTCTAGGTCGAACTTTCGACATTTACTGGTTCTCTAGCTTACGGGAACCTATTTTTCTTTTCAATGTCCGCAGAGGTCGGCATTACAACTGGATGGTCAGGGTGCCGACCCTGGAGAGTGTGTTGGCCATCGTCCCAGTTGAACTTCCTTTTCAGTTAGTTTGGTGCTTCTCATCGACTCGTTGTCTGGTCCGCGCCCAAAGGTCGTCTTCCTCCGGTTCTCTCGTTAACATAAATTTCAAGCCAGGTTAATCCAGGTATATACATACAAGCCCCCGAGCTCAGATGTGAGGCCTTTGGCATCTCTTCCGAGGTCGTCCTTGTGAGAACTGATCCGGATTTATGTGGTCGTACTTTCGTTGCTCGCCTGCGAGGTCGGCATTTCTGCTATAATTAGTGAGCTTAGTGCGCATTGATGACGGGAGCTGAAGTGACGTGCATTTAATGCGGCATATCTGCACCACTTTGTTGTCGGTTCTGAAAAGTCACATCGTCTTAATTGTTGTCTGTGTGGCGTACACGTAGTGGCTCCCCAGTCGTGCGCCCATAAATCACGTCCTTTGGCCCGGATCTGTTACACCCCTTCCAGATTTTGAATTTCAAACGCTACGACACATGTCGCGCTCCCAAGGATGACTACATCTATAAATATAGGTCCTTAGCCAATTTTTTTATTTTTTCTACCTTTGCAATTTTTCACCACCGAATTTTTAGAGCTTGAGAGAGATCTTCGAGCGAATTTTGAGGGATTTTTTTTATGAGACTTTTCCCGATAATTCTATTTCCTTTGGTTTTGTTTTTTGTTTTTCTTCTTGCTTTATAGACATGTTTTCTTCTTTGAAATTAGTCACCGGTGCTGGTCCTTCCGACGAGAACATTGGTTCATCTGGCGGCGGAGGGGACCGGGAAACTGGTATTTTATTCACCGACGGTAGCGGCGAACGCCTTCCTCGCGGCGACCCCTATTTCTATGGCTAGGCCAAAATCATCGATGACCGAGACAACCTCCGGCAGCGACAGTGGCGAGAGGCTGGAAATCCCCTCAT